CTAAAAGATTTCATTTCCTGGGGCGCCTGGGTGGCTCAGTGGGTTAAAGCCTCTGCCTTCGGCTCAGGTCGTGATCCCAGAGCCCTGGGATCGAGCCCCACATTGGGCTCTCTGCTCAGCAGAAGCTCTCTGCTTCCCTTCCTCTCTCTCTCTCTCTGTCTGCCTCTCTGCCTACTTGTGATCTCTCTCTCTGTGTCAAATAAATAAATAAAATCTTTAAAAAAAAAAAAAAGGAAAAAAAGATTTCATTTCCTTCACCTGGGAGGATGGGAACGGCACCTGTTTTATTCGACCTCTGGTGACTTGGTGGCTGTGCAGGGCTTTGCAGAGACTGGACACTCCGCTCTTTGCCCAATCAACGAGTCGACCTCACCAGCCATGAGGGAAATGCAAATTAAAGCAATCAGAAGATACTGCTCCCCCGATAGATAGAGGGAAATGGTGAAGGTCAATAACAGGGAGCACCCATGAAGATCTAAAGATATAAATTCTTGCTCATCCTGTTGGTGGGAAAAGGAAATTGCTTTCTTTGGTAGGCAATCTAGCAGCACCCTTACCCTTAAACACCGCTCCCCATTCCTGAAAAGGCTGGTACGCACGGAACATTCACCCCAGCACTGCCAGCAACAACGCGACATGTGGGAGGTGGTGCACAAATCCTTCCTCTGGAATACAATGCAGCCCTTGCAAAGGGTAGTCCCTGCCGGGAAGGAACCAGGGAGGGATGCCAAGTGACTGTCATAGGCGTGGCCTTGAAAAGATTGCCTAGACTGCCGTTAAAGAGAAGAAACAGGTCGGAAAACGACATGTACAGCCAACAAGGCCAAACCCCATGATTGTAGATGGAAGAGAAAAGAAGCAGGTGCCCAAGAATGCTCCTCCGGGGAGGGAAGAAGACTGTGCCAGTGGGGCATTTTACAGTCCGGGTTTGAAATTTTTTAAAAATTTCAATCCCACTATTTTTTAAAAGATTTTATTTATTTATTTATTTGACAGAGAGAGAGAGAGAGCACAAGCAAGGGGGGCAGCAGGCAGTGGGAAAGGGAGAAGCAGGCTCCCTGGAGCCCGATGTGGGGCTCGATCCCAGGACCCTGAGATCATGACCTGAGCTGAAGGCAGAGGCTTAACCCACTGAGCCTCCCAGGCACCGCTTATTTATTTATTTGATAGAGAGAGAGCACAGTGAGAGAGGGAACACAAGCAGGGCGGGTGGGCGAGGGACAAGTGGCTTCCTACTGATCAGGAAGCCCAATGCAGGGCTCGATCCCAGGACCCTGGGATCATGACCTGACCCGAAGGCAGACGCTCAATGACTGAGCTACCCAGGCGCCCCCCTGAAGTAAGTTTAATCACCACCCTCGGACAGGTACAATAGGAGTCTAAGTAGGGGGGGTACTCCTGGGAGCAGCCTGGGTAAAATTTTTTTAAAGGAAGAAAACACAAAAGACCCAACAGTTAATTTACAAGGTGGCTGATGAAACATGAAAAACTGAAAACCTCACTAGTGACCCAATGAATGAAATCAAAGGAACAGACATCCTTTTGTCTGTGAGATTGGCAAACATGGCATGAGTGACAGAGAGTGGCTAGGGAAAGAGCAGTTTTAGTAAAACAGACTTATTATACACACATTGGCTTAAGGCAGCATTCCAGGACTCACAGATCTATTCACCATTCAATAGCCATCTTAACTGCACGCAAAAGTGTAAAAATGCCTAAATTCCATAGTGTAGGAAAAGCAAACATCTCAAGAACTCTATCATGAAAAATGTCCAAGGTGCTCAGATCCATTAAAATACACTGTTATGGGGCACCTGGGTGGCTCAGTCAAGGGTCCGGCTGGGTTTCGGCTTGGGTCGTGCTCTCCCATCATAAGATCAAGCCCCACATTGGATTCTGCACTCAGTAGGGAGTCTGCTTTGGATTCTCTCCCCCTCTGCCCCTCCCAATGCCCCTTTAAATAAATAAATCTTTAAAAACAAAGCAAAACAAACACCACAATGCAGTTTGCTAAGTGTTCTAGCAGAAGTCAGTCCATGCAGCTTGGGAAACACAGACTATAGGTACCAAACCCCAAATGGATACCTGGTACCTGGAGCCGTGAAAAAGCCAGATGTGCTGGCCCCTGGACAGGGCAGGCCTGGCCATGGGCTCTGCCCTCCTGGGCTTCAGAGGTCACTGGTCAGTCATTTATTCCCTTCTCAGATTTCACTTCCCTCCTTTTCCTCCACTCTTTCCTCCTTATAACATCTTATAAACATCTTCAGGGTTGTCATGTCTCTCAGAACCTCCACCCATTTATTCCCTGCTCTCTCTCACTTCCATCCTGTTTTAGAGGAAGAGAAACAGTAGTAGGCACGACTCACACTGCCGTGGAAATGGAAATAGGTGCACCGGGTGTATCAAAACCCAAACAATGTGAACACCCTTTGATCCAGCGATCCCATCTTCAGAAATTTATCCTAGGGAAAAACATCATGGGTGTGGACAAAAATCTGTCATCAAAGACGCATAAAGAGGTTTATGAAAACATTGTTTAAAAGCAAAGTACTGAAAACCATCTAAATGTCCATCCAAATGAGATAATTAGCTAAAAAGTTAGGGAGCAATATGGAAAATGGTACTGTTGTTGAGCAGCTATTTAAAGCTATGCTATGATGCTATAAAAATATTCAATGACACAGGAAAAGTTTTATGGTATATAGTTGAGTGAAAAAAGGAGGGGGCCGAATATTGACAATAAGATCGTATATAGAGAGAGAGGAAATGAAAGAGTGATCTCAAGCACTAGATGACTTTAGCTATAGCACTAATGGTAAATTTGGATATTATGTAAGCCTCAGTTTCCAAACCTATAAAATGGGTACAATAAGAGCTACTTGACAGGGCTCCATAAGATAAGGTATATGAAGTACTTAGCACAGTACCTGGCACATAATAAACTCTCAAAAGCATTAATGGTGGTTCAGCTCATTAGTTTATTCATTCCCTCAAGCATTTATTGAGAGCCCTTGAACTTGCTACTCTGTCTGGAACTTTGCTTGGTAACCTTATTGATTCTTCAGAATTCTGTTTAACTGTACTGTGACGCCCTACCCCTCCTGCATTCTTCAAAATAAAAACATGCTTTGGCTCAGGTCATGATCCGGGGGTCCTGGGATTGAGCCCCGCATCTGGCTCCCTGCTCGGCGGGAAGCCTGCTGTCTCTCTCCCACTCCTCCTGCTTTGTGTTCCCTCTCGCACTATGTCTCTCTCTGTCAAGTAAATAAATAAAACCTTAAAAAAATAAAAGGGTTAAAACGGTAAATTTATGTGTATTTCACAATAAGGCTTGGGAAAAAAGAATAAGAAGCCAGACGGCTTGATTCCATTTATACAAGGTATGAAAACAGAGGAAACTAATCTATGGTAACAAAAGTCATAATACTCTTTGTAAGGTAGTGGCTGGAAGAGGACATGAAGGGGGACTTTGGGGTCATTTTCTATTTTTTTTTTTTTTAAGATTTTACTTATTTGACAGAGATCACAAGTAGCAGAGAGGCAGGCCAAGAGAGAGAGAGGGAGGGGGAAGCAGACTCGCCGCTGAGCAGAGAGCCTGATGCGGGGCTCAATCCCAGGACCCTGGGACCATGACCCGAGCCGAAGGCAGAGGCTTAACTCACTGAGCCACCCAGACACCCCCATTTTCTATTTCTTTATCTCAGTGCTGGTTCCACTGAGTTCAGTTCCAATCAGTTCAGTTGGTGAAAACTACCGAACTCTTCACTTGTCTATTTGCCCTCTCTGCCTTTTTTATACTAAAACCAAAAGTTCACCAGAAAACAACAAAAATCCTGACATGTCTTTTGAAAAAAAAGTGTTTTTAAAGATTTGTTTATGTATTTTAATTAGAGGAAGGGAGAGCGTGAAGGGGGTAGAGGCAGAGGGAGAGGGAGAGTACCAAGCAGACTCCTCGCTAAGCATGGAGCCCCTGGGGAGGGGGAACTCAATCTCATGACCCTGAGATCACGACCTGACCTGAAATCAAGCGTCTGACCCTTGGGGCTCCTGGGTGGCTCAGGTCATGATCCCAGGATCCCGGGGTGGAGCCCCGCTTCAGAGTCTCTGCTTAGCCAGGAGCCTGCTTCCTCCTCTCTCTCTCTCTCTCTGCCTACTTGGGATCCCTGTCTGTCAAATAAAGAAATAAAATCTTAAAAAAAAGAGAGAGAGAGAGAGAGAGAGAGAGAGAGAGAGTCTGACGCTTAACAGACTGAGCCACAGAGCTTCCCCCAAATTTTTAAGTAATCCCTAGGACAAGCGTGGGGTTCGAACTCACAACCCGTCTATGCTAGCCAGGGCTCCCTAAAGAATTTTAATTGCAAAAATCTAAGTTCTTGGGAGCTGAATTTCTCCTGTTTTCTTCTGGGCTCCTTTCCTTGTGCCTTAAGCCTGCGCTGAATCCGTGCCTTCTTTGAAAGGCTTTCTGGCCTTTTTTACCAAGGTCCCACAATACCTGGAGCCAACCCAGACGGTAACTAACTGCCTCCGGCCTCCCGACTAGCCCTGAATTGAACTTTTGGAGGTCTCTAGAGAGACCAATCCCTACTGATCCCGCTAACCAGGAGCTCAATGTGCGTTACAGAGCAGTAATAAATCCAATCAGCCCTGGAGGCTGGGAGTAAGGCCAAAAGAACAAGCCCGGATCGGGGAAGGGCCGCTCACGATCTGCCCGGCTATGCCAGCACGCCGGTCCTCCAGACGCGAAGCCACGCCTTCTCCCACGCACCACCCCCAACTCTATATGGTCCTGCCCCTCACCCGTGGGCTCTTTAGGCTCCGCCCAGTGAGCGTGGCCCCGCCCCGGGAGGGCGACGATCCCGCCAACAATAACTCCGCCCCTCCTTCCGCTAAGAAACCAGTCCTTTTTAAAGAATACGTTTACGTCAGCCCGCCTTACGTAAACTTACGTCATCAGAGCAGAGCGCGGAGGCGGGATTTCCTGTCTCTGATTCAAACAGCTTCCGGGAGAAGCCGGAAGAGACGGGACCCTGGACAGAATCGGGGATAGCCAGCCCCTCCCCCGGCCCCTACGGAAAGGTGAGTCCATGGGCCGTCCTGGCGAAATCAAAACAGTTAGTCTGGCCGTTTCAGGTGAGGACTTCTTTCCCTATCCAGGCACAGTACCGGCTCAATCCCCCTTTAATTTCCCATGACTCCCCGCGTACTCAAGCCCCGCCTCCAGGCCCCCAGCCCCGCCCCAAAGTTTGAGGGGTGTGAATGGTTTGTGACCCCCCTCACCGGACTCTACCCCTTATGGGCTGGGAGAATTGAGCTTGGCGGCCAGGAACTAGGTAGCCTTTCGCCTCGGGTGGGCCCACCGACTCCTCTCCAGCGCCGCGGGAATAGGGCCGCCCCACGCGGAGTCTTCGCCTCAGAAAAGGCACGGTCGGGACCCCTCCTCACCGCGCGGTCAGGGTCGCCTACAGACTGAGGAGACCCCCAAAGGCCTCTGAGGCGGGAGACGTGGGGTCCTCCCCCACCCAAGAAAGTGCCCTGTGTCTGTGCCAGTCGTTTTCGCCTCTGTTCGCCGCAGTTTCCTTTTCTGTAAATCAGGATTGGTGACATTAACCATCTTACCGTTAGGGGCTAGTTGTGGGAGCGATAAGTAATTGCTGCCATTTATTGATTGAACCATTGCAATGTGCCAGACACTGTGCTAAGTATTTTGCTTCGTTGATTTCCCGTCACCGTCAAAACACCTTATGAGGTAGGTAATATTTTTAACCCCATTTTACCGATGAGAAAGCTGAGGCTCTGAGAAAGTTGTGCGAGATTAGAGAGCTAGTAAGAGGCAAGGCCAGGATTATAATTAGGTGTTCTGTTTTGTTTTGTTTTGTTTTGTTTTACTCCAGGGCCCATGTTCTAAATAAGAATGTGGAAGCTATTCAGATGTTGCTATGTCCTACAGATATTCTTTGAGTGGCTACTATGGCATTATGATGGGCACTGGGGTACATAGAAAAATACATGTGATCCTATATTTCAGAAGTCTAGTAGAGAAAAAGATGGACTGGTAGAGGAGTATAATGAAGTTTTATAGGTATTGTGAGAATACTCTGTTGATGCTAATCATCAGATTGGATTTGCCTGGGGACAGTTGTGAAAGCCACACATTCTGTGAGGGAAAGAGTAGGTACTCTAAAGGAGCAAGCCACTGTCCTTCTGCCTTTCTAAGAAATAGCCAGGGGAGAAACTACACCAGGCACGAAGAGAGATAGGGATATGGATTGTGAGAGCTATTTTGGAATCTTTTCCAAATCCTTTCCAGTTAGTGGTTTTGCAGTTTTGAGCCTCTGGTGGTGTTTCTGGTGTCTGTCCTCCTTCGCTTCCTAGGACTTGTCAGAAGAATTTCAGAGGTGGCAGACACGGTGCCTGCTGCATGATGTCTGCTGATGGCTCCTGCAGATGTGTCCCCTTTGGGGTGGTCTGACCATGCTTCTGATGAAAAATTAATTTTTTGGTTCTTGACATCTGAACCTGAGTACGTGACCACGAATGAGGTAGGGTTCAAATGGAAAAATCTGGCAAGAGTGGCTGCACTATGCCTCCAGAAGACCCTAAAATAAAATATTTCAGGCTTTTTTGGTCTCTCAGAAGCCACCTTGGAGGCTTCTCAGGGGGGCATAGTTGCTATCCAAGTGATAGAAATCCTAGAGAAACTCAGGGCATAAGGAAGCAAACGTTTTTCCCCCACTTACCAAAAAAGCAACAGCCAGTGACAGCAGCAGTCACCACAACAAAGCCATGAAGTGTTCCTGATGATCCACGCTCATTGGGAGCTCGAAATGTGAGAGAGGAAAGATGTGGAACCTGAAAGCTAGTGTTTCACAATAGAGGCAGAGGGTAAGTCCTTAGCTTTAGGTTGGGGGTCCAAGGGTAGGAAGGTGTGTTCCCCCTTCTGAAGGACACTGAACTCCATTTTCTTTCAGGGCTGAGTCAGTTAGGACCTGAAGAAACTAGGAACCTGGTTGCAACCCCACATGCCTTGCTGATGCTATCCCCTTTGTTCCTGCAGTGTCGACCCAGTCAGCAGCCAGGCCATGGAGTTCTCTGATGTCACCCTCATTGAGGGTGTGGGTAATGAGGTGACTGTGGTGGCAGGTGTGGTGGTGCTGATTCTAGCCTTGGTCCTAGCTTGGCTCTCTACCTACGTAGCAGACAGCGGTAGCAACCAGCTCCTGGGCACCATTGTGTCAGCTGGAGACACATCCGTCCTCCACCTGGGGCATGTGGACCATCTAGTGGCAGGCCAAGGCACCCCAGAGCCAACCGAACTCCCCCATCCATCAGAGGGTAATGACGAGAAGGCTGAAGAGGCTGGCGAAAGTGGGGGAGACTCCACAGGGGAGCCTGGAGCTGGGGGCGGTGTTGAGCCAAGCCTCGAGCATCTGCTTGACATCCAAGGCCTTCCCAAAAGATACGCGGGCCCGGAAAGCAGCAGTCCAGAGGCCCCTCTGAGATCTGAGGATAGCGGCTGCCTCCCTCCCAGCCCCGGCCTCATCAGTGTGCGGCTCAAATTCCTCAATGACACCGAGGAGCTGGCTGTGGCCAGGCCGGAGGATACTGTGGGTGCCCTGAAGAGGTGAGTGGACCGGAAAGTGGGCAGCTGCTCATACCCCACGCCCACAGCCCTTGGTAGCCTAAGAGGAGCCCGGTATCCATCTGGGAGTGGCGGGGAGGTATCGGGTCCGGCCCCCACCAAGGCTGGGTGGGATACCTCTTAGAAACTTACCCTTCACTTCTTCCCTCATTGCCTTGTTTCTCTGGCCCAGGCCTGTCAGCCTTCTCATTCCTCGCTTTCTGTCTTGCCTTCTATCTCTTTCGTCCTCACAGTAAATACTTCCCTGGACAGGAGAGCCAGATGAAACTCATCTACCAGGGCCGTCTGCTGCAGGACCCAGCCCGCACACTGCGTTCCCTGAACATTACCGACAACTGTGTGATTCACTGCCACCGCTCACCCCCAGGGTCAGCTGTTCCAGGCCCTTCAGCCTCCCTGGCCCCCTCCTCGGCCACTGAACCCCCCAGCCTCGGCGTCAGTGTGGGCAGCCTCATGGTGCCTGTGTTTGTGGTGCTGTTGGGTGTGGTCTGGTACTTCCGTATCAATTACCGCCAGTTCTTCACAGCACCTGCCACTGTCTCCCTGGTGGGGGTCACTGTCTTCTTCAGCTTCCTAGTATTTGGGATGTATGGACGATAAGGACATAGGGAGAAAATGAAAGGCATGGTCTTCCTCCTTTATGGCCTCCCCCCTTTCCTGGCCAGAGCTGGGCCCAAGGGCTTGGGAGGGAGGGATGGAAAGGATGTGGCAGGTCCTCCTCCATAGGACATAGGAGGCAGGTAAAGGACCTCCCCTTCACGTCCACAAGGGTACAGACAGCCCATCTCTGTGCAAGCACAACTCAGGTAGAAACAAGGATGTCCTCTTCCTTCACTTGTAGGGTCCTGAAGTTCAGAGCTGAGCTGATGGCCCAGCTCAGTGGGGAGCCTGGGCTCCCGAGGATTCCGGATTCCCTCCCCGCTGTGGCCCTAGCTCTTCCCATTGTCCTGCATGTCTGCTCCTCAGTACCCAGGGCCGCCTGCCAGGGCAGCTCAGCATGGCCCCAACATACTTCTGTAGGGAGCCTGGAGTATTTTTCTGTTTCTTAAGGGAATATCCGTCTTTTGAGACTGAAGTCACACAGCAGGAATGAAGGTCGTGTCCGCTTCCCGTACAGGCACCTAGCCGCCTCTTACCTTCTCTCTCCGCCCCTGTAGCAGGAATAGGATGTTCTCTGTGTTCTGGATAGTTTCCAGTGTTCTCCCCTTTTTTTCAAAGCACTTTGCTTGTATTTTTTTTTTTTTTAATAGTCCTTTATAGAGCTCAGTCAGAAAGGGGATTGGGGCACAAAGCCAAGCCCCCAGCATTGGGAGAGGCCAAGCCACAGCTGCTGCTACCCTAGGCCTAAGGCTGTAAGCAAGAGACAGGTCTGGCCCTCAGCCAGTGTCCTACCCTGCCCAGCTCCAAGGACGAGCTCTGGGTATGGAGCCCTGGGCCCCAGGCCCTTGCTTCTGGGCTTCTCAGATGGAGGGTCAGTGTCTGTGACTAAATAAAGTTCCATTTTGTGGCTGTGGAGCCTCCTTCTGTGACGTTAAGAGAATGGCTTTGCTCTGCCCCCATTGACATGGTAAGGAGGGTGGATAGGCTGGGCTACCAACGGGAGATGCAGTTTATTTACACCAGCAGCCATGGGGGCAGGGGAAATACACAGCGTTTACAAAGTTAGCTACCTGTACAGGATGGATTACATATGCAAAAATAAAAATCTCAAGACCACAGGACAGCGTGAGCCCCACCCCCCTCCCCCAATGACCCCAGCATGCGGTAATGCCAGGCGGGTGGCCCCTGGGCATGCGGGGGGGAGTGATGCATGGAAGGAAAAGCCACCGGCCATGGAAATTAGTACAGAACCCCCCCACACACACTCAGACACATGATAGGATACAGGTGGACGACACCTAGCCGGGGTGGGAAGGATGGGAATTGAGACCCACACAGCCTGCTGTTAGAGGGAGGGGAGTGGAGAGCTCCTAGCCCCTGTTCAACTACATGGTAGGGGGGCACACTCTCCCCAGAAGGAAAGGGGTTTGCTCCCTCAGGGTCCCTGCTGGACCAAGCCCATCTCTTACCCAGCTTGGGCAGGGGGCTGTGCCCTGAGGGCGGGCCAAGGAACAATGGGGAAGTGGATGTGGACAAACCAGTTCCCAAACTACTTCCCACTTCTCCCTCCTCCAACCAGAGGGGGAAAGGGAGAGGCCAGAGGGGAAAGGGGATGGTAGGGCCTGAGCTGCAGCTGCCTCTCCGAAGGGGAATGGCCTGAGCCGTCCTCCCCTCACCCTCAGCCCACTCCCAAGACTTCATTCGGAAGCAGGCTGGAGGCTGGCTGAAATCCTCCTTTCCCTCTGGCTTCCCCTTAGAGGGAGAAGACTACGGAGGGTCAAGAACAGAGGAGCCCAGGCCCCAGGATTTATTCTAACTCCTGCCAAAATTTGTTTGGCTTTTTAAAAAATAATCACAATTCTTGGGTTAAAAACCAATTTGTAACCAGGCATCAGCCACAATCAGAACCACCCCAGGGGCGGGGACGGGGTTCCAGACAGGGTACTGCAGCCCTATCTCTTGCTGTTCCCTTAACCCTCTAGGGTCCCTAACCCAAAATCGGTCCAACCAGTCCTGGGTACTAGCTACCCAAATGTGGGATGGCTCCTCCTGGGAAGAGGGCAGGGTTCTCATCCAGCAAATGCCAGAGAACATGGCTCAGGGTCAACTCCATCCCTGTGTCCGTCAGCTCTGCTCCCAGCCCAGACTGTAGTCCTCCAGCTCGGCTCCTGGGAGCGACGGTGCCCACGCGGAGGTGGGACGGTACATCTCTTCAGGATGTAGACCAGGCAGGTGGGCACACTGGCATGACAGTCCCACAGAGGGGCAATGCCGAGGCACGACAGCCCTCCACTGACAACCCAGAGCACGGAGACTAGCTTCTGCCCACCCCAACTCCTAGCAAAGGGGGAGAGGTAAACGATCAGGATTTTCCTCAGAGCCCCAAACCACGAGTACAGAATAAATAACTTAAAAGCGGCTAAGGAAGGGGAAACAGGGCAGGCTTCGGAGGCAGGAGCATTGAGAGAGGAACTGAAGCTGGTCAAGGTGAAGGAGGGGGGTAGCAAGCAGCAGTTGGGAACTTGGACTGCCCTCCTAGGGCAGTGGGGCAGGGGAGGCGGGAGGGACATGGGGCCACCCCAGGAGGGTGAGGCTGGGCCCCTTCCTGGGGCAGGGAATGAGGTAAGAAAACATTTCAAATAAAGCAGCACCGTTCCCTCTCACCTTGGGGCCCCACTCCTCACCAGCCCTGGGTCAGGGAGAAAAGGTAGGTGGGGGAGTCGTTCTGATACACAGCTCCCTCTTCCTACCCTCCCCTTGCCTCTTCCGTGAAGCTGCAGAGGCTGGAGGCCCTTTCCTGGCGCCCGACGACAAAAGGACAGCCCCTGCTGCCGAGGAGGCCCGTGGGGACTGAGGGGAAAGGGCTGCCCCTGGGAGGGGCAGGGAAGGCGGTGGCAGTTCCGGACGCCCACCTCAGCAGACAGCTTGCTGGGCCTGCCTACCCCTCGGATTGGGGGCATCTGATAGGATTCTGCACACAGACAGGACACACCCAGCCCTGCCCCTCAGCTCCAAGCACCGGACCCATTCACATTGCTGAGGGCGGCTGGGGGAGGCCCCCTCCAGGCTCAGCTTCCAACCCACAGCCTCCCCGGTAGCCACAATGCTTCTCGGCAGGGCTTAGTCCAGTTCCTGGGGTGGGGGGCAGGCAGTGCCCTGGCACAGTGCCCAGGTCAGGCCCCTGGCCTAGCTGGACATCCAGTAACTCACAGAATAAATAGGAAAACCGCCTCCCCACCGAACTTATGTCCAAGGCATAATATGTCCAGGTCTGAGTCCTGCATGCCAAGGGGTCGTGCTCCGTCGCAGAGGACCCTGACACCCCCCAGGGGCGCATAACTGGATCCTCTGCCTGCCTGGCCCCACCAAGCTTCCCAAGCCCAAACCCCCAGCAGCCGTCCATTTGCCAGGCTTTGCCACCTGGGTGGGGGTTGGGAGAGAGGGCTCTGCTCAGCCATAGGCTAACCCTTGCACCCAAGTCAGTTGATGTCATCGTAGATGCTGGGCGTCGGGGGTGCCGGTGGCTTTGGCTTCTTCTTCTTGTTGGAGCCCAGGCTGGAGGCAGTCCCTACCAGGCTCAGATGGGATTTCTTTTTCTTGGTTTTCCGTGACTCAGAGCTGTTGGTACCTGAAGAGAGAGAGGCACCATGGATGCAGGCTGGGCTGTCAGGAGAACACGGGTGTCCCCACAGCCCTGGCTTTGGGCGGAGAGCCCATGGGGCCCAGATGCATCACCTACCTAGACCCCATCCCTGATTCTCACTCGTCTTGGAGGAGCCTGAATCAGAGGGCGAGAGATCAGAGGAGCCGTCCCACTGAAGCCGGCTGATCAGGGCCTGGCTGTCAGTCATGTCAAAGCTGTCATTATCCAGGGAACTCTCGACCTCTGGAAGGACGCTGGAAAGAGGAGGGGTCAAAGAAGGGCTTCAGGGATACCAATCATCATCCTAATCTTCCACAACCCACCACCCTCCCCGGAGGTTCCCTTACGCTGAGGGTCCGAGGAAATAAATGCGCACAGCTCGCCGCTGCTCATCTGTGTGCTGGGGGCAGCGCACGGACCTGGTGAGGAGAAAACTTGTCAGACCCTGACAAGGCAGGAAGAGTCTGGGGACCTCAGGTGAAGCCCCTTACCCCTAGCAGAGGTGGGAGGAACGGACACAGACAGGGAAGGGATAGACAGAGTGCCCCCAGATTGTGGCCTAAGGCCTGACCATTAGAGGAGGGAGGGAAAGGGTGGGAGCCCCATTGCTCAAGTCCAAGGGTACTCTCGACCCATGCCCAGGGTGAGTGTGCGGGAGGGCCCCCGGCCCCCTTTTCTAGGTTCTGAGCTCACCTTGTGCACATCTTCTTGGTGTGTTCAGAAATCACCCCACATTGCTGGAAGAGGAATATAAGCTGAAAGGAGGGATGGAGGGGAACCCACTCTAGACACTAGGTATGTTCTTCTGCAGATGCTAGATAGCACAGGCAGAAATCGGCCCCAAGGTATCCAGAACAGACAGTCCCAGACTACCACAGGCCGGGAAACCTAATTCCAGAGAGAGCAAGCTAGGTGGCCCTGACTGCTGTCACCAGCCTCTTCCAGGGACGGGACCACTGCCTATGGCTCCAGCCCACTCCCAAGGGCCTCCCCCTCGCCGGTCTCTCACCGTGGTGAGCAGGTTACGCAGCTCGTCCGGCCCCAGGGTTTCATAGCTGATCCCAGTTGAGTTGTTATACTAGGGGAGAAGCAAAGGTACAGGTCAGAGAAGAGGCGGCTCGGGGGGGTTGGGAGGGAAGGGACAGATAGGGTTGGGGAACCAGTCCCTCTGGTCCTTCTCTATGGGGGGAGGGCCCTGAGCCAACCCAGCACTTTTCCAGGGATACTCTTCCCATCCCACCTGCACGTCGGGAAGGGGCTGGAACCCAGCAAGAACAGAAATATGCAAGACCGAAATACCCCATCTAGTGCTTCTGGCCTTGGCATTCTGATGGCCACCTCTCCAAATCCCACCCAACTCACAACTGGGGAGACGAGAGAGAACCTTAGAGGGGCAGCACCCACTCACCTTAAAAGGATCCGAATTGCTAAGTTCCCCTGAAGAAGAAAAAAGAAGGGGAAGGGTGTTTGATGCAGAGGTACAGACAGAGAACCCTGAAAATAACCAGAGAGGAAGTGGGGGTGACAGAAGGATCACAGGCCCTCCCTCGATACCCCAGTTCCCCTAAGACCCCACCTCCACCCTCCAGCAATGAGTCCCAGCAGACGTACCTAGAATCACCCCCATCGTTCAAGCCCCACTTACCATTTTTGTGTTT